ATAAAGATAGTGGACCACAGCCATATACGCCCACCGCGGCATGCGGATGGTAAATATTACAGATTTTGGGGCAAGGGCAATAACTCTGCTTCTTACGGTCGAAAATAGCTTAAATTCGAACTTGATCTTCGTTTTTTATACGCCCACATGAATATGTGGTCGTATATTGTTGTCGCCCCTGTCCGTCCGTCCGTCCGTCAACATTTCTTGTGAGCACTATAGAGACTACAGTTTTCATCTGATTTTGATAAAACTTGGTGTGATGCTTTAGATTGATAAGATCTCGGTCAAGTTCAAATTTGACATATTTTCTAAGAACGGTTTTTGAGATATTTCCCTTAACTTAGAGCGCTTTGAAATTTGTTAAAAATTGTTCGTGAGCAGGATTGACGCTACAGTTTTCATCCGATTCTGATGAAACTTGGTGTGATCATTGGAATTCTTAAGATCTCGGACAAGTTCTAACTTGACGCATTTTCGAAGTACGGTTTTTGAGTTATTGCCCTTGACTTTGTTAAAACGCGTCAAAATTTGTTAAAAATAGTTCGTGAGCAGGATTGAAGCTACAGTTTTCAACCGATTCTGATGAAACTTGTTGTGATCATTGGAATTGATAAGATCTCGAACAAGTTCTAACTTGACGCATTTTCAATGAACGGTTTTTGAGTTATTGCCCTTGACTTTGTTAAAACGCGTCGAAATTTTTTAAAAATAGTTCGTGAGCAGGATTGAAGCTACAGTTTTCAACCGATTCTCATGAAACTTGGTGTGATCATTGGAATTGATAAGATCTCGGACAAGTTCTAACTTGACGCATTTCTGATGAACGGTTTTTGAGTTATTGCCCTTGACTTTGTTAAAACGCGTCGAAATTTGTTAAAAATAGTACGTGAGCAGGATTGAAGCTACAGACTTCAACCGATTCTGATGAAACTTGGTGTGATCACTGGAATTGATAAGATCTCAGAAAAGTTCTAACTTGACGCATTTCTGATGAACGGTTTTTGAGTTATTGCCCTTGACTTTGTTAAAACATGTTGAAATTTGTAAAAAATATTTCGTGAGCAGGATTGAAGCTACAGTTTTCAACCGATTCTGATGAAACTGGGTGTGATCATTGGAATTGATAAGATCTCGGACAAGTTCTAACTTGACGCATTTCTGATGAACGGTTTTTGAGTTATTGCCCTTGACTTTGTTAAAACATGTTGAAATTTGTTAAAAATAGTTCGTGAGCAGGATTAAAGCTACAGTTTTCAACCGATTCTGATGAAACTGGGTGTGATCATTGGAATTGATAAGATCTCGGACAAATTCTAACTTGACGCATTTCTGAAGAACGGTTTTTGAGTTATTGCCCTTGACTTTGCAAAAACGCGTCAAAATTTGTTAAAAATAGTTCGTGAGCAGGATTGAAGCTACAGTTTTGAACCGATTCTGATGAAACTTGGTGTGATCATTGGAATAGATAAGATCTTGGACAAGTTTTAATTTGACGCATTTTCGATGAACGGTTTTTGAGTTATTGCCCTTGACTTTGTAAAAACGCGTCAATATTTGTTAAAAATAGTTCGTGAGCAGGATTGAAGCTACAGTTTTCAACCAATTCTGATGAAACTTGGTGTGATCATTGGAATTGACAAATTCTAAGTTGACGCATTTTGGATGAACGGTTTTTGAGTTATTGCCCTTGACTTTGTTAAAATGCGTCGAAATTTTTAAAAAATAGTTTGTGAGCAGGATTGACGCTACAGTTTTCAACCGATTCTGATGAAACTTGTTGTGATCATTGGAATTGATAAGATTTCGGACAAGTTCTAACTTGATGCATTTTTGATGAACGGTTTTCGAGTTATTGCCCTTGACTTTGTAAAAACGCGTCGAAATTTGTTTGTGAGCACAATAGAAGCTACAGTTTTCAACCGATTCTGATGAAACTTGGTGTGATCATTGAAATTACTAAGATCTCGGACAAGTTCTAACTTGATGCATTTTCGATGAAAATGTTTTTGAGTTAATGCCATTAACTTACGAAAAACGCGTCAAAATTTGTTTGTGAGCACAATAGAAGCTACAGTTTTCAACCGATTCTGATGAAACTTGGTGTGATCATTGGAATTGATAAGATCTCAGACAAGTTCTAATAAGAGATATTTTTGATGAACATTTTTTGAGTTAATGCCCTTGACTTTGTAAACACGCGTCAAACGTCAAAGTTGTTTTTTGCCCTTGATTAGAGCTGTGTGATTTAATTGTTTGTTGTATTTGGGTTATTGATATTGATTTTAAAAATTTTGTGGAATTATTCAGCATAAATAATTTCTTCAATATGAGAAAATTCGTACTTTAGTCACTAAAGACTGTTTTATTATTTCTGACAGCTGCCAGTGGGCATATGTTACCTTGCAACGCAAGCTATCTTTTGAATATGTATACATACCGAATTTCATTTGATTCCATCAAAAAATCTAGTTTTAAAAGCGTTTACAAGCAAATGTTGACGGACGGACAGACCGGCGGACCTTCGTTTCATGAATATGTATGCACATACAGAATGTTATTTGATTCCTTCAAACACTCTAGTTTTTAGTTTCTACTTCTAATGATCCAAAATAGCTCAAATTCGAACTTGATCTTCCTTTTATGAAAATGTATACACATACCGAATTTCATTTGATTCCATGGAAAAATCCAATTTTTTTTAGCATTTACAAGCAAATGTTGACGCACGGACAGATTGACGGACGGAGTGTTTACTAGCAATTGATGTTGATAGAAGCACTTAATGTATAGAGGTTTAAGGGCGATAACTCCTTAAAACTGACGTAAGAGGCCTAAATCTTGTAAAAGCCTTAAATTTAATCAGAAGTAAACTAACCTTTCTCAAACCTTTCGATTTAGGTCCAGTAACATCCATTTTAAGTTTCATCAAAATCAGTTGAAAACTAAGAATAGCATATTAACGATTTTGGTGCAAGAGCAATAACTCTGATTCTAACGGTCGAAAATAGCTCAAATTCGGACTTGATCTTCGTTTTTATACGCCCACATGAACATGTGGTCGTATATTGTCTTAGCCCCTCTCCATCAACATTTCTTGTGAGCACTACAGAGACTACAGTTTTCATCTGATTTTGATAAAACTTGGTGTGATGCTTTAGATTGATAAGATCTCGGTCAAGTTCAAATTTGACATATTTCAATGAACGGTTTTTGAGATATTGCCCTTGACTTTGTTAAAACGTGTTGAAATTTGATAAAAATAGTTTGTGAGCAGGATTGAAGCTACAGTTTTCAATCGATTCTGATGAAACTTGGTGTGATCATTGGAATTGATAAGATCTCGGACATGTTCTAACTTGACGCATTTTCAATGAACAGTTTTTGAGTTATTGCCCTTGATTTTGTTAAAACGCGTCAAAATTTGTTAAAAATAGTTCGTGAGCAGGATTGACGCTTCAGTTTTCAACCGATTCTGATGAAACTTGGTGTGATCATTGGAATTGATATTATCTCGGACAAGTTTTAACTTGACGCATTTTCGATGAACGGTTTTTGAGTTATTGCCCTTGACTTTGTAAAAACGTGTCAAAATTTGTTGAAAATAGTTTGTGAGCAGGATTGAAGCTACAGTTTTCAACTGATTCTGATGAAACTTGGTGTGATCATTGGAATTGATAAGATCTCGGGCATGTTCTAACTTGACCATTTTCGATAAACTGTTTTTGAGTTATTGCCCTTGACTTTGTTAATACGCGTCAAAATTTGTTAAAAATAGTTCGTGAGCAGGATTGACGCTACAGTTTTCAACCGATTCTGATGAAACTTGTTGTGATCATTGGAATTGATAAGATCTCAGACAAGTTCTTACAAGAGATATTGTTGATGAACGGTTTTTTAGTTATTGCCCTTGACTTTGTTAAAACACGTCGAAATTTGTTGGAAATAGTTTGTGAGCACAATACAAGCTACAGTTTTCAACCATTTTCGATGAACGTTTTTTGAGTTATTGCAGCAGTGTGATTTAATTGTTTGTTGTATTTGGGTTATTGATATTGATTTTAAAAAATTTGTGGAATTACTCAGCATAAATAACTGGCATATATATATATGTAATTGAATTCAAACTAATAAAATTTCTTCAATATGAGAAAATTCGTACTTTAGTCACTGTTTTATCATTTCTGACAGCTGTCAGTGGGCGTATGTTACCTTGCCTCACAAGCTATCTTATGAATATGTATACACATACCGAATTTCATTTCGTTCCATCAATAACTCTAGTTTTTAGAGCGTTTACAAGCAAATGTTGACGGACATTGTTAGGGTAGAAATTTTATTGGTTAAAGCCTACATCTCTGTGTTAGTTCAAAAGGTTAATTTGACGAATGTTCAAGAAGACTGTTGTTGGACCCTATTGGAAGTGGCTATATTCAAAATGAAAGCTAATAAAAAATGGAAGGAAAGTTTGATCTAATTAGACTGTTTGCCCACCAAAAGCTATTTAAAAATATAACTTATCTTTTCAACTAAAACCACCATATATCTACAAAACTGAAAGTCTGTATAAAAATGCTCTTGTGCAAATATCAAAATATTTTTAAAAATAATTAGCAAATACAATGAATCACTACTCTTCACCATTGCCCTTTCGTCCTATGTTCAATCATAAAATATTGTATACATCGGTCTACTTTGTTCATAAGCTGAAAGGTATTTTGTTTTTATTCGTACCACATGGTCAATATTGTGTGGGTGAAAGGTCTATCATTTATATTATTAAGTTTCCCTATATATCATATTACAAGTTCCAGGACAGTTTTATAAGAGATACTCTCTTGAAAAGCACTAGTCTAGGTCACAAGTAGAGACTATGCATATCAGCATTGGAATACATCAATTTGATAAGAAGTTATATTTATTACTGTTTGGGGCATATAACAAGAACAAAATGATTTGTGGTTGGTCTTCCTTTTTAATGAAGAATGTATAATAAATTAGTAAGATAATGACTTAATTTATTTCAATTTTAGTCATGAAAATATTATTTACAAATGAATATTCATCATTTTGAAATCAATCTACACAAAAAACCTGTCTGCCAATGAACATCAATTACAACCAATTATCTCATGTCATGCACAAATTTAATACTATTTAATTAGTATCTTTCAATATAAAATGATTGGCAATTTACAGATTTGAGGTATTAAAATATAAAATAAACTTAACATTTCTCAAAAACAACTGAATCTTCATATGCCAGAAATAAAAACATTATAAAACCTTTCAATTGATTCTCTTTCAATTTAAAAAAATACCAATCCATTCAAATAAAATTTTCAGAGCAGCAACATCAAAATGAATTATTGAATATACTTTCATATTTGATAAAAGAAATACTATAACAGATAATGTGATTTTAAGTAGAATCCGAACATTTTCATAAATTTTTGATGAACACTTCCAAAATATTAAAGTGACACATTTTCACCCAATTGAGAACGTATTTTTTCATGAAAATGGATGCCTAGCACATAGTATACTTTCATATTCTCCTTCCTTCTGTTTAAAATTTGCTGTAGATGCTAAGTTATCAACATTTAAATAATTTAGTTTTGTAGCTGTTAGTTTTAGCACCACACTTTACATTGTTAATATCAAACTATGTAGTAGGATTGGGGGGATGTGAAATAGGACAGGGTGTTAAACGTTGCCAAGGATCTTGTATCATGTTATATTGATAATATTGTTCTATATCATTACTACCTCCTGGATTACAATTCGGGTCATAACGAGCATTCTGCAAAATAGAAATATTAATCAAACTTATAATACATTAAATGAACAGAAATGTGATAAGAAAGATATTAAATATCGTCCAATATTTCAGAATAAGTCTTTTATTCGTGTTGGCACAGTTCAGACTAACATTTAGGATTTTTAAAGTTTATATTCGAAACAGTCAAAAATATTTCTAATGTAACTACTGGCAGAAATTTTCTGGGAATGTCTTCTTTTCTAGAAAACCTATTACTGCATATAGTGGTTATCTACTTTTAATACTATTACTTATTAGGGTAATCTGTAGGTAGAAATATTACTGAATCAGATAAAAATGTACCATTGAAAGAGTTAAAAATAATTTTGAAAGATAAAAGAATATCAGATTTAGAGTCTTAATCAAAAAACAAACCTTAAAATTGTGATAATGTTTCATGGGAGACATAGAATTGTTAAAACGCTGTTTTCTATTATCACCCCCTGTCCAACTTCGAGGATGTGGAGATGAATACCTTGGCATTGGCTGTGGGGTTCGGAACGGAAAATTATTTTTCTGATAACTATTATTATGGTGAGGACTACTTTGTCTGTGATTAGGACTTCTATTTACAAAACTCGCTCCATTATTGCCTGTATTTTGATATGGTGAAAATCGAACATTTCCTGAGGAGGCAGGAGATCCCCATTTAAAAGACGTATTTGAGCTTCCGTCACTATTATTTTGCGAAGAATTGTTATCACGATTTGGTGTGTTCATTTTGTGAGGTTTACTACCTGAAATACGATGAATAAATGGAGACAAATAACCACAAATCTTGAAAAATGTAAACAAAGTTATAACTTAATTGAACCGGAAATGGCATGGCTACCTGACAAAATTTGACAAAACATATCCTGAATAAAGCGAAAGAATCTTTATAAAAAAAAATGTAAAATTTAATCTAAAATTATAGCATAGTAGATGTTTATTTCTTTAAGATTGTGCGATTTTAGTCCATTGTCAGGTAATAATATTTCGTTTTGAAATGTAATATCTAAAATACCCACACAAAGATTGATGACGTTTTCAACATGGCTGTACAGGAAACAATACAATAATATTAAATATTATCAAAATGCAGCAGTTCGTTCACGATAGAGGTGTGTCATTTTCTGTATTATGACTTAAACGATCAGTGCTTTGGAATTGTATAGTATTTTTCGCTTCTTATGATTGATCATTTACTAATTACTCTACTCGCCCCTCTCAACCTGGACTTAACAGTTGCACCTTCATGGCTTCAGTGACTTCATTCATACTCAGTTGGTCTGTGTACTGGGTATGTCTGCAAAAAAAACTAGAGGTAAAATTAGAACTTACCAGAAAGGAATGTGATAGCATTTACAAGATCTTTGTTATTTAAATATAGCAATGGTGGTCACATCTACTTTTAGCTAAATGATATCGCAGACTACTTTTGAAAAAGTTTAGTTATCAGTTAAGTAATGGATATAATAATCCAGTAGTAAGCTAAGTAATTAACTTCAGGCTTCTTTTAAATTTATCTGCCACTCTATACAGACTCTATTCACTCATTGTCAATTAGCTAATTACCACTTACAACTTTATTCTAGAAAATAATCAGAAGAAAAGTGCCAAAAATATTACAAAGGAATTTTAGTCTTGAAGTAAACTCAAAGATAAAATGTCAATAATTATTTTTAACTTTTATGAATTAATCATATATGTTTTGTATTTTTCCAGAACCAACGAGATATTTGTTTATTTCAGTTATTTTGCTTGTACAGATTTTTATCATCGGTTAATAAAATTTTTTTTGTCGTCTTATTCATGAAGATATCAATTTGGAAATAGAAATCAAATGAAGTAATACATACATATCTATGTCTTTTTTATCTAACTAACTTGTATTTTCCTTCTCTGTATTTTGCAGTAAGCTATAAGAGACCAGCATGTAGTTTAAGGTTTGATTGTGAAGGACCAGTCAATGCTATTGCTTTAAATAAAGATGCTACATTGTGTGTTGTTGCTGGCAGGACAGGTAAAACCTACAATTTTATCTTCGTATTTTATATCTTAGTTATACTCATTGATCACATTATTAAGTATCATATTTTTATCATACTTCTTTTGAAGATCACACAGAGTGTAAAAACATGTTAGGTTAATTTCTTGACTAAATAAAGCTGCATTGATATTTTTAGTTGTGTGGTTATGTTTTATTTTAGGCAATTTTTGATTTAATTAGCTAGTTTTGAATATTTTTCAGTATTTCGAATTGTTAGTGTTGAAGAAGATGGGTTTGCTGAAAAAATTAATTTACGAGTTGGAAAGAATATCAATTTAAATTATTGTGCTGCTGATGTAGCGTGGAATCATCATGATGAGAGTATTCTGGCATCAGCTGCAACTAATGGTTCCGTGGTTCTCTGGAATCTGAATAAACCAAACAGATCAAAACAAGGTGAGGACACTCTTACTTTTAATATGTTTAATTTTCTCAAACCCTGTATAAAATTATAAGTTTGTATATCTACTAAGATGAAAATCTCACACTAGAGAGATACTTGACATGATGTCAAAAACTGGTTTCTGAAAGTTTTGTCAACTATGTAACACATGGTTACTGTTAATCAGCATTAAGAGTGGAGAAATTGGTAATAGTATTCTCACAAAGGTTGGTCTTTTCAAAATTTCCTCCTGAAACTGTTTTGAATAAAAAACTTTAATGATCTGTATTTTCCAGAATGTGTATTAACAGATCATAAGAGAACTGTAAATAGAGTTATCTTCCATAAATCAGATGCTTCTATCTTACTCAGTGGATCACAAGACGGAACTATGAAACTTTTTGTAAGTTTCTCTACATTTATATCTGCTAATATTATATTGTTGTAAATAAGATTTCATATTTGTTGGTTTTCAGACAGGCTTTGTTCTGTTTCTATTAATGGACTTTTGATAGTATAATTTATAGAATGGTAATTTGCACACAAATAATGAACTTTGGTTGTGTTACAGGATATAAGAAAACATGCAGTAACTACAACATTTAGTGGTAAGATGTCTGAAAGTGTGCGAGATATTCAATTCTGTCCAAATCTAGGATCTGGATATTTTATTTTCGCTGCTGCCTATGACAATGGAAACATACAAGTAAGAACATTTTTTGCTACCATATAAATCATTGATATTTTTTGCACGAATGTTTATAAATTGAGCATGGAAATTCTCTCCTTAAATTATCTATTAATTGATTTTTCCTGAAGATTTCTTTAGATTTTTCAACCCTGTTTCCATATTTCTAAGATAAGCTATTTTATTTATGATTGATATTTTAGCTATAGGATAATGATATGATTAATATTTTAGCTAAAGGATAATGTTATGATTAATATTTTAGCTATGGGATAATATTATGATTAATATTTTAGCTATGTGATAATGTTATGATTAATATTTTAGCTATGTGATAATGTTATGATTGATATTTTAGCTATGGAATAATGTTATGATTAATATTTTAGCTATATGATAATGTTATGATTAATATTATAGCTATGTGATAATGTTATGATTAATATTTTAGCTATGTGATAATGTTATGATTAATATTTTAGCTATAGGATAATGTTATGATTACTATTATAGCTATGTGATAATGTTATGATTGATATTTTAGCTATGTGATAATGTTATGATTAATATTATAGCTATTGAATAATGTTATGATTGATATTTTAGCTATGGGATAATGTTATGATTACTATTATAGATATGGGATAAAGTTTTGATTACTTTTTTAGCTATGGGATATGAGGATGTATGATAGATGTATTAAACAGTTCCCAGCTCACACCGGACCTACATTTAGTATAGACTGGCATCCTGAAGAAAGAGATTGGATAGCTACTGCTGGCAGAGATAAAATGATTAAGGTGAGACATTCAGTCTTGTTTAAAAACATTTGATATCATCATAGTGACATAGTTTTTTTTTCTGCTGATGACGTTTGTTGTACCTGTAACACAAATCTTATATTATGGGAATTGTGTGGAAAGCTGAAATCCCCACAGCTTACAATAAAATAAGGAAATATTGTTAATATCTGACTAGAACTATTAATTTTCAATAAGTCCATCATGTGAATCACTATTAGCTTAATAAATTCTATTGTTTTTATAGGTATGGGATACTAGTTCACATCCAGAGAAATTGGTGAAATCTGTACAAACTATAGCTTCTGTAGCCAGAATCAAATGGAGACCACAAAGAAAATTCAACATAGCTAGTGCCTCTTTATTATTAGATCACAATGTAAATGTATGGGCTCTAGGTAGACCTTATGTACCCTTTGCTACATTCAATGGCCATAAGGATGTAGTTTCTTGTAAGTTGACTTTTATCTATCTTGATAGCTATCAGATTATTGTCGTCTATCATTACTTACCATGGAAAACTCATGATGAATCTTTCCTTAATATAAATTTGCATCTAATTAGTTCATCTTAGATTCTTCCTTAATTTTATACCTTGTTAAACATGTTTTAGAAACCCAATCAGTATAGCTTAATAGCAGTAATAGTAACTATGAAACAGTGGAGTAATTCAAAGCCCATGTATTAATGATTTTAAATGGCATATATCTTAAAATTTGTTTCAGCAATCATCTGGTTAGAACCACATATGTTATTTACTAGTGGTAAAGATGGCTTTTTAATGCAGCATACTTTTAAAGATGCCAAACGTCCTGCAGATGATGTTATTCCTGCTGGAATGGATGTTGATATCTTTGGAAATATTTCTCATGCGTTTGGTGACAGGAATGGCACCAGTAAGTAAACATCAGATTCACTTTTCATAGTTCAAGTTTGTGAAGATGTTTTGACTATTGAAAGTATAGCATTAGCATGTAAAATCACACACATTGTCACAAAAACATAACTTTTGCATAAAAGATATCTTCTAATCTGTACAGATAAACAACATGAAATAGATAAAGTTGAATCCAAAATTGTTTTGTATATTGAAAGGGTTCATTGATGTTATTTTGTAGAAAAATCTAGTCCTGAAGGTGGTAAACTGTCTTTTTTTACCAGTAAAACTCCAGAAAAGAAGAGTGATTTGTTTACAGAAGCTCATAGTTATATGTTTACTCATAGAAACAGACATAGAGATGTTTTATCAAAGGTATGTGTTGTAGTATTTGACTAACATTGAGAACAGTCCTGTTGATTTTACCAGTTGTGACATTTGGTATATATATAAAAATCATCACAATTTACATTTCATAAACATCTTTGATTGAATAAATCTATATATTTATTTTTAACTTTTCAGGAAAACATCTTTATTGAATGTGCCAAAGAATATAAATTATGTAAAATGTCATTTGATAGTCTATGTGATCATAATGCAGGAATAGCTAAAAAATTCCACATTCCACAGGTAGAGTATTCAATATTGTTTAACTTTGAATCTTCTAGCTAGATATTACTCATTGAAAAGATGAGAAATAGTTCGAAAGAGATCTTGTTCATGTTTAAAGCTGGAATGCCAATAGATTTTACAAATATGAGATAACACAATCATTCACATTGGAAGGGCAAGTTGTATATATTTTGTTACCTCTTATACCACTCATTTAAAAAGGAATTATCATAATGCAACATCAATTATTTCACAATTATCATTGTAAGATATTTTGATATATTGAGAAATGAAATCTTGTCAAGACTGATACTAATTCAACTTCATCACAATTATTTTGATCAAACCTCAGTAGGTAGTAGGCACAGAGTTAACTGATTTACCAATCCCATCTAAACAATTAAACACCAATTACCCAATACATTCTCTACATTTAAATTTTATAAATTTTATTCAGATTGAACATAGTTGGAAGATGTTACATGTATTATTTTGTAAAAAACATTTAGATCATAATTTATCTAGTCTAACTGCTGACAAACAAGATCTGGATAAAGGTACTTTCATTTTATTTTTATAAAGACTCATAAAGTTTTAAAAGTTTTGATTTAATCAACACTATAAACTCTGTATAATATTTTTTTATCCATTTATTCAAGCTAATTACCTCTAATAATTTTATATTTGGGTAAAATTAAAGGAACATTTGAAATGAATCTACAGAAATGCTGTGAGATCATCGAAGAAAATAAAGACATTTGACAACATATATCTTAAATTATAAAGGAGTTACGTTTATGTTTAAGTTAATATCTATCCTGAATCATTATTTTGTTAATTGTATAATGACATTAAATTTTTTTGTGTAGCTCACTGCATTTTCCAAGCTTTTTGATGAATATATGAATCCTTGGTTTCAGTCTCAGGGAAATCTCCTCTAGGTGCTAAAAAAGAGAACCACTCAGGCAGTAGAACAGAATTAAATGGAATAGACTCAGGTACAATTTATATTTGAATTTTAAAAAATTGGCTTAGAGGCTATTTCTATATCAAATCATAAAGCATGTGGTTGAAATGATTTATTAATACTCAAAATTAGCAAATCATGTGATCTGAAACACCTTCTGCCCCCAGCCTGTGCCCCCGTGTTTTAAAATTATATGGGAAGAATATTTGCTAATTATAGAAACAAATATTTCAGGTTGGAGTGATGAAGACTCAGAAGGGGAATATTCAGAATATGAAAACACACTATTGGCTAATATAGCTAGTGGTTTAACCAATCAACAAGCAGATTTTTTCTTTGGTGATGGTGAACCAGATAGAAAAGATTATGACACCCATACCTCTAGTTTTGATGTTTTAGCTCTGAAAGTTGATCTCATAGTAAGCATTGTTCTCAACCTAATCATTTGAAATAATCAATCAAATGACTTATTTTTTATATTTATTTATAGAGCCCAGTTACTAGTTACGAGGGTACAGGATTAAAGTTGTGTTAAGAACTCGACATTTTTTTTCTAATTGTAGGATTACAAACTACCATATGAAGCTATTCAAGTTCGTCATGAATTAAAAACAGTTTCACCTGAAGATTTAGCAGCTGGTCATCAGACTTTAATTAATGAACAGAATAACTCTACTGATAATCACATTTCACCATCAGAAACCGAAGATGATAGTCTCATCAGTATACCTTGGAAACTAGAGGTCAACAATGTATCCAACATTTCTACTGTAGTTAATATACTTAAACAGTTTGCTGAACAGGTGGGTCAATCTAGAAACTAGAGGTCAACAATGTATCCAACATTTCTACTGTAATTAATATACTTAAACAGTTTGCTGAACAGGTGGGTCAATCTAGAAACTAGAGGTCAACAATGTATCCAACATTTCTACTGTAGTTAATATACTTAAACAGTTTGCTGAACAGGTGGGTCAATCTAGAAACTAGAGGTCAACAATGTATCCAACATTTCTACTGTAGTTAATATACTTAAACAGTTTGCTGAACAGGTGGGTCAATCTAGAAACTAGAGGTCAACAATGTATCCAACATTTCTACTGTAGTTAATATACTTAAACAGTTTGCTGAACAGGTGGGTCAATCTAGAACCTAGAGGTCAACAATGTATCCAATATTTCTACTGTAGTTAATATACTTAAACAGTTTGCTGAACAGGTGGGTCAATCTAGAAACTAGAGGTCAACAATGTATCCAATATTTCTACTGCAGTTAATATACTTAAACAGTTTGCTGAACAGGTGGGTCAATCTAGAAACTAGAGGTCAACAATGTATCCACTTTATCTACTGTAGTTAACATACTTAAACAGTTTGCTGAACAGGTGGGTCAATCTAGAAACTAGAGGTCAACAATGTATCCAACATTTCTACTGTAGTTAATATACTTAAACAGTTTGCTGAACAGGTGGGTCAATCTAGAAACTAGAGGTCAACAATGTATCCACTATATCTACTGTAGTTAACATACTTAAACAGTTTGCTGAACAGGTGGGTCAATCTAGAAACTAGAGGTCAACAATGTATCCAACATTTCTACTGTAGTTAATATACTTAAACAGTTTGCTGAACAGGTGGTCAATCTAGAAACTAGAGGTCAACAATGTATCCAACATTTCTACTGTAGTTAATATACTTAAACAGTTTGCTGAACAGTTGGGTCAATCTAGAAACTATGACAGTATACATTGTCTTGTAGTTGGTCAAAGCCCAAAACCCCTGCAGGCTAAAGAACATTAAAGATCCTCTCTTCGTGGAACACTGTCTGGTATTGCCTATCTCTGTGTGTCTCTGCTAATAATAACTGAGATATATTGTATTTAACAGGGTGATGTACAGTCCACTGTTTCTATGTTAATTGTATTAGGAGATAAAATAAGACAACATATAGATAGTGAGTTACAAGAAACCTGGTTTTTATCATATATTGGTAAGTATCAACCTAAATACATAGATAGAATAGGCTGGTAACTTGGAAAATTTAAGTTTTTTAGTCACTTAGCTGACATATCATGATTGTAGTTTTAAAAAATCCTGCCTTTTAAAAAGGTCATTTCACATGTTGAGAGCACCATTATAAAATACCAAAAAATCATTGGTTGTCCAACAGTCCTCAGCTTATGAGTGTATAACATTACTAGTTGATGCAGATCCCACTATGTATATCATTGTAGAACTACTAGGATACTATGAATTATGGACAGTATCAGCAGAGGTTATCAAGTTATGTCATCTGAGTTCAGTCAATAGTTTAAACAGTCAATCTACCACTATACATACCTACTGTTCACAATGTAGTCGACCTTTAATGAAAGCTGGCTGGTTATGTGAAAAATGTAAAACTGTCACCAATAAATGTAGTCTATGGTAAGTACATTTTTTAAACAAATTGCTCAAGGTATAATGGGATCAAACCATATACCGGTACCACAAAACTGGGTATTATTATTTCTGACCATTTGCAAGCCAAATATAGTCTTAGTAAAAATGTTTTCAAATATCAAAAACTAATAACAGTAAAATTAATTGCAGTCATCAGACAGTCAAGTTAATGTACATTTGGTGTCAAGGTTGCTGTCATGGCGGCCATATTGAACATATTCAAGATTGGTTTATGAAAAATAAGGAATGTCCTACAGGTTGTGGTCATCATTGTGAATATACTTAGAACTATTTTAACAGGTTAGTGCAATCTGCATACCCTTCTTTCATCATTTCAAAATTCATTCTTGTCAGCATTTAAAAGGTCAGAGTAAAGTTATTGTTTAAACACTTTCATTTTCATTAGGTCACTTATTTGTCTCAATTGTATTTCAAGAGCATTCTATTACAGTTTAGGATGAGTAAGTGAGTTATCACCCAAAGATGAACTATATTTAAAATCAGAAAGATCAAAAAATAATTAGTATGAGTTATTGCCCTTGTTCTTGAAAATGCATTCAATTTTAGCTTGTAAACACTCTAGTAGATGTGACTCTTGACGGATTTTGACGAAACTTGGTGTGAGTGTTTTACTCAACCAAGGATAAACTCTATCAAAAATCAGAAAAATTTAAAAATATTTAGAATGAGTTATTGCCCTTATTATTTGAAAACACAGTTCATTTTTAGCTCGTAAACGCTCTACAAGGTTAAATTATTGATAGATTTGGACGAAACTTGGTGGGAGTGTTTGTTGTCACCTAAGGATGAACCCTATCGAAAATCAGAAAAATTGAAAAATAATTGGTAAGAATTATTGCCCTTGTTCTTGAAAGTATGTTCAATTTGTAGCACGTAAAGACTCCAGAAAAATTGAAAAATAATTGGTAAGAGTGGGCGTATATTACCTTGTCTGGCAAGCTATCTTTTACATATAGATATTGTTATCATTCTTTCAGCATCACCCAAGCTCTTTCAAATGAAATCCAGAATGTTATGTGCACATAATTTAATGTAGGATGTGATTTTGTAACAATGTGAAATCAACAATGTACTTGAAATCATGGAAATTTATTTACATCAGTCCATCAGCCTACTATAATTTGAACCATGGAAGAACATTTCAGCCAGACCTAAAGATTGGTAGTATTTTACTTTTAGTATTAGAAGCATTCAGATTCTAGTTAATGAAACCTATAAATGTCATTATGTTAAGCAGAAATTGAATCAAAAGGGACATTGAATTTTAGGTTTAGATCCAAATATAGCTGTGACTGCTGTAGGACAAAATTCATGTTCATTAAAATATGATACTTGTCAAAGAATTTTAATATTGTAATTAAATGGTGACCAATGAGAATAAGGCAGGACCAATCTGAAGAAAATCTACAATTTGATCATTAACAGTGTGGATGATTTGTTTACAATGTATTTGTAGTTGTTTTAAAAATGGAGTGCTATTTATAAATGATATGAAGTGTAAGAGTAAGGCTAGACCAGGACTGTTGTTTTCATTCAGTCACATGACAATATACATAATATATTTGTTATTGACTTAGTGATTGAGTGTTACAAAGAGTAACATGGATAGTTCAAGAAAGAGGTGTCTTTTCAGAGACATTCAAATCTCTAATTAGTATTAATACATTGTCAGCTATCAGATATGCTTCCCTGAAAACCATGTTTTTACTCTTCTTGTCTGTGTATTTGAAAGATTCCAGTATATAAATTAAGTTACTTTGTCATAATTATATCAAAATTATCACCAAAACACGTCTTAGATAAACATTGAAGCCTCTAAATTGAACTGACTCTATGTTATCATGGTTATCCAAGGAATCAAAATTAATAATCATAATCATAATTCAGACATAGCTGGTAAATACAGCGGAAATCATGAGCCCTGGTCTTAACCTATACTATATAAGAATATATTGTTATTGATTTGTTAAATAAAATATTTACATAAACTGTATTTTATTAATTATCAGGGGTTACCATAGTGACGCTTGTTTGAGTTCTGAACAGGTTCCATCTGTTCTAATTCTGGTCTCAATTTCACATTTTCCCTTTATTCCTTTTCTCAANACCTATTTTTATGGCCCTCATAATGTTGCAATGGTCATTCTATGCAATATTTAAATTTACCCAAAAACTGATCTCCACATAACCTTCTGATATTGTGATCTGTTTTTATACGCCCACATGAACATGTG